GACCGGGTTTCCTATCAACATGGTCTCAATATGTCCTCCCAGTCTCAGAGTGAAACTTGGATCTGGTTTAGGTCCCTAGCAAGTCACTTATGGATTTTTTTTTCCCCTTGTCTGCATCGAGGCCAAATGTAAGTGTAGATTGCTATACTTGCATGAGGTGCTGGTTTGTGTTTGTTTTTACTGGCAGCAGGACTCACACCCCATTAAGTTTGGCACTCAGTAGTCCTGCCAACATTACCATTTTCTCTTTCTCTTGTTCACACTCCTGCTCCCTTCCTGTCTATCTTTCTAATTCCCTCACTCGCACACCTGCTTGCTCCTCCCTTTATATCTCACTCTCTCTCTCTCCTGTTCTCTTTCCCCCTCTACATCTCTCACTCTCTCTCCTCTCTCTCTCTATCTCTCTCTCACCCCCCAACCCTTCTCTCACTCTCTGTTCCCTAGTTCTCTCTCTCGCTCCCTCTATCTCTCTCCAACTATCCCTCCCACTATCTCTCCGTCCCTCTATCTCCTGCTCTCTTTCTCTCTCTGTGTGGTTCTCTCTCATTCTCTGTCTCTCTCACTCTCCCTCTCTCACTTTCTGTCATTCTCTCTGTCTCTGTCTCTCATTCTTCACACATGAGCCCCACATGGAGATAAATGTTGGACATCAAAGTGTGCTGCGTTCCTCGCAGAGGGCGACAGACAGATTGAGACAGTGACAGAGAGCGCAAGGGGGAGAGAGAGGCAGACAGGAGATATATCAAACCACAACAATGATGCTCACTCTCTGCAGTTGTTCTTGGAACAGCAGGAATTTGCCTGCTGCCTGACCTCTGAGCCCCCCAATCCATAGGCTTGGTGTGGCAGGAGGGGGTTATGGACACACTCTAGGCCCTAGGACAGGTAAAGATCATACTTGTACCAACGCATTAGGAGCAATACAAGGCCATTCAGCCCCTCGAGCCTGCTCCGCTATCCAACAACACCATGACCGTAACCTCAAACCAACATTCCCACCTGATAACCTCTCCGCCCTTGCCATCACTCATCCAGAATCTATGTCCCTCAACTTTGGAAATATGTCCCCCAGCCTGTTTCAGGGCGGGAGTTACAAAGAGTCATCACTGTCTGAGAGAAAACAGGCCTAAGACCATAAGAGATAGGAATGGAATTAGGCCATTCAGTCCATTAAGTCTACTCCACCATTCAAACATGGCTGATATATTTCTCAACCCCATTCTCCTGCCTTCCATGGTAGCTCAGTGGTTAGCACTGCTGCCTCACAGCACCAGAAATCCAGGTTTGATTCCACCCTCAGGCGACTGTCTGTGTGGAGTTTGCACATTCTCCCCATGTCTGTGTGGGTTTCATCCGGTGCTCCACTATCCCCCCCACAGTCCAAAGATGTGCAGGTTGGGTGGATTGGTCATGCTAAATTGCCCATAAAGTCCAGGGACGAGTAGGCTAGGTGTGGTAGCCATGGGAAATGCAGGGTTACAGGATAGGGTGGGTCTCGGTCGGATGCTGTTCAGAGTCAGTGTGGACCTGATGGGTTGAATGGCCTGCTTCCATGCTGTAGGGATTCTATGATTCTATGAACCCTCCGTCAGTATCTTGCTCACTCTCTCAGTACCACTGCTCTCAACTCCCTCCCTCACTGCCACACACCCACTCCCCTTCCCCCCCTCCAACCCCATCATCAAAAAAACTCCCATCCTCTCTCACACTGTCATTCCACTCGCTACCTGCATGGGAGACTCGTCCCCCCTCCTCTCTGTTCTTAGCTCTCTCTCTCTCTCTCCACCCCCCCACCCCATGCAGCCTGGGGCTACATATGCACATCAGCAAAGATCCCTGTCACCAACAGGCTCCAAGCTCCTGAAATATGAGAAGTGTTTTTTACTAGCTCAGGCCCCCCTCCCATTCTCTCAGTTTTCTTTTAATCTCCTTTCTTATGACAATGTTTCAATTTCTCATCTGTCGACAGCCTTTCAGCTTAACTTGTCCTCTCAACAAGTGTCTCCACGTGGCAGAGAAACAGAGAGAGAAAACAAAGCGGTGAGACATTGGCTCCATCAAACACTCCCAGGACAGATACAGCACTGGGTTAAATTCAGAGTAAAGCTCCCTCAATTCTATCTGACCCTGTGCGCACCCACCTTGTAAACACCGTCAATGCAATGCTGCTCTTGGGATGGGGATGCTATTGAATAGGTTCAAGTAAGAGACAGTTCAAGGCAGACTGAGGATCCAGATGCAACAGATGAGCTGGTGTAACACTCCATCTCAACATTTATTACCCATACTGAGCTGACCTGAAGTTTATAGCGAGCTGTCATCTTTAAATTTTAATTCCAGTATTTCCGGGCCACTTCCTTTAGTACTCTAGAATATGGATAATCAGCCTCTGGGGATCTATCAGCTTTTGACCTCATTAATTTCCCAGCACTATTCTCTTATTAATACTGATTTCTCTCCATTCTGCCCTTTGACATTTCTGGGAGGTTATTTGTGCCCTTTATTCTAAAGACTAATCTAGTTTCCTTCACGTATCAATAGAAGTTTTTACAGTCAGTTTCTATGTCTCCTGCAATTTTACACTCATTCTCTAGTCCCTCCTCCTTGAGCAAACTTTTTATCCTCTTTTGCTGAATTCTAAAATACTCCTAATTCTCAGAATGGCTGTTTTTCTCTGGCAACTTTAGATGTCTCCTCTTTATATCTAATACTACCCCTGAGCTTGTTTGTGAGCCACAATTGAGAGGCCGCTCATCTTTTACATTAGTTCCAGACAGGAATGAGTAATTGTTGTAATTCAACAAAAGTGATTCAAGGGGCAGCTGCTGATACCAGTCTGCAGGCTTGGACACAGTCAGTCAGCCACTTGGGACATCAGATTCAAGATCCTCTCCACATAACAAGGTGGATGAATGAGAGAGAGCTCAGTATGAAGTGAGATGAAAGTGGGTGACATTGCTGTTGCTGTCGGTCTCGGAGGGGAAGTGACCCAAGTGAGTGAGTAGGGCAGTGTTAATGGCGGCTGTGAGTAATTGAGGGAAGATTTTATCAAGCAATAATGAGAGAGGTAGAGCTGTGGTGGGCAATGGGTGCAGTAGCAGGGATGGAGTGAGTGAGAGGTTTGGAGCGGAGATGATGGCACTTATACAGGTGGAGTTGAGGAGGTCATTCGCCTTCTTAGGAACATAGGAGCAGGAGTAGGCCATGCAGTTCCTCAAACCTGTTCCACCATTCAATGAGATCATGGCTAATTATGGCTGAATTCCATATACCTGTCTTTGGTTTATGTCCATCAATACCTTTGCTTAGCAAAAATGCATCTATCTCAGATTTAAAATGAACAATTGATCCAGCATCTGCTGCTGTTTGTGGAAGTATGTTCCAGACTTCTATCATCTTTTTTTTGTGTAGAAATGCTTCCTAACATTTTTCCTGAACATTCTGGCCTTAATTGACAGACAATGCCCTCTAGTTCTAGAATACCCAACCAGTGGAATTAGTTTATCTACCCTTTCTTTTCCTGTTAATAGCTTGAAAACTTCAATCAGATTACCACTTAACCTTCTAAATTCTTGAGGAAACAGGCCACTTTTGTATAACCTCTCCTCATTACATAGCCTCTGAAATCCAGGTATCATTCTTGTAAACTTACGTTGTACACTCACCAAGGCCAATCTATCCTTCTTAAGATGCTCCCAGATGTGCCCACAGTCTCCAAGCGGAGTCTAACCAGGGTTTTGCATAAGTGCAGCATAACTTCTGCGTCGTCATATTCCAGTCATCCAGCACTGGCCCAGGGGACAAATTCAGATAATGGGTTGGTATGAATCTGGGATTGTGCCCTTCTTTGCTGGTCCTGGAAGAAGACAGCATTCCAGCTTTGAGCTACACCATCAAGCAGGAGTTCTGGGTCACTGCCCAGGGACAATACCACCACCACATCTGGGGTAAATGTCAGGAGGGCAGAGGGCAAGTCCTGGGCTGACAGTGCTTTTCCAAGTGGACAAGGGGTTTTAATGATGGCATAGGGGGATGGGAACTCAGAGAATTCCAGGATATCTTGGTGGTGGTGAGTTGTCCCAGGAATGGCAATGAGGCTAGAATTGGGCAAGAGAGAGAGAGAGAGAAGCACAGTGGGGCAAGGTCAGAAGCAAATGGTGTTATTATACAGTGGGAAAACTCACTTGGACTCATGGCGAGAATCTGCCCAAAAATAACACAACACAACACAACTCACACTTCACCAAAACTGCACAAGATTAAGCCACGAGGGAAAGAAAGTGAGACAGAGAGAGTGAGAGAGTTAGAAACAGTGACAGAGAGAGACAGTAACAGAGAGAGAGAGTGAGAAAGAGAGGGAGTCAGAGACAGAATTAGAGACAGACAGAGAGAGACAGAGAAAGAGAGGTGGGGACAGACAGTGGCAGAGAGAAGGACAGTGACAGAGAGAGAGGGACAGAGAGACTGAGAGAACAGTGACAGAGAGAGATGGTAACAGAGAGAGGGACTCAGACAGAATTAGAGACAGATGGAGAGAGACAGAGAGAGAGAGGGAGAGACAGTATCAGAGAGAAAGACGGTTACAGAGATAGAGCAACAGTGACAGAGAGGGAGAAACAGACAGTGGCAGTGACAAAGAGGGAGAGAGAGGGATAGAGAGATGAAGACAGAGATAGAGACAGAGGGAGAGAGACAGAAAGAGGGAGACAGAGAGAGTTGAGAATGACAAAGAGACAGAAGGAGACACAGAGAGAGAAAGACAGAGAAACAGTGACAGAGAGATTGCTCGAGTGATTGAGACAGACAGAAACAGTGAGAGAGAGAGAGATCGTGAAACAGTGAGACAGACAGACATAGTGACAGAAAGTGTGATTAAGGAGGTGCGAGGTGATACTGAAGGCCAGGTCAGTTTTAGACAGCAAGCCACGCATACGTGCGTTAGTTCCTGCTTTTCTCTCTCATACTCTGTCACTATCACGCTGTCTCTCTCACTCCGTCACTATCTCTCTCCGTCTCTCGCTGTATCTTTCTCTCTGTCCCTCTGTGTCTCTTTCTATCTCTGTATTTGTGTCTCAGTCTCCATCTGTTTCTCCCAGTCTCCCCCGACAGTGCGTGCTTTTTCCTCTCTCTCTATGCCGAGCTCCTCCCCTCTCTGAACAGGAGATTACTTCCGTGTTTTGACAGCAGATTCAGGAAGCAGCGAGCCCAGAGAGCTGACAGCTGCGCTCAGTTCACCAGAAACTGTCCCTCACCGTCGGACTGCCTCTCCATCCATCACATCTTTCTCTATCCCTCTTTCTCCCGGTCCCTCTGTACCTGACCTTCCATCTGTCCAGATCTCTCTCCATACCTCTAAACCCTAATCCCCCTCTTTTGTCCCTATCTTTCTGCCACACCTCTCCCTCCCTCTCTCTGTTCCCCAATCTTTCATCTCTCACCTTGTCCCCTCACGACAAAGCCGACCCCTTTGCCAGACGTTCTGTTTGGAGTTGGGACTACAGAATGCAGTCACAGGTCACAAGCACGTACCCTGTCGTCAAAAGAGGCCAGAGGGCAGTGCCAACACTAAAGAGGGAGCCAAGCAACGGAGGTGAATGGGAGAAGGAGAGGGTCACAGTGGTGGGAATGGGGAAGCGGCTGTAGAAGGGTGTGAGAGAGACAGTACAGGGAGGGGCAGTGAAAGAGGTCAGGCATTAGGGGCGGAGCAGGGAGCAGGAAGGTGAACTTTGGAGGGATTGGTCGATGACAGACTCCTCGGTTTGACCATTTCTCTCTTATCGTGCCCCCACCACTAACCTCCCCTCCTCCTCTTCCACAGGCCTCACGGACACGGCAGCAACTCTGTGCCCGAGCAGGGACCACCTCGAGATGCTCAAGGCCTTCGATCTACATTGGGAGTACGGCCCATGTTGTGGTAGGTTACAGCCTGAAAACCTCTTTCAGCAGTTGGCCAAGACCATTCCGCCCCTTCTGATTAGTCCCGATCACATTACCCCCCCCCCCCCCCCCCCACCCCCCACACCACCACCACGCAGCCTGCTCTTCCCCAAGCTCTGTACGAATCTCTTGCTGTATGGATTAGGCCTCATTATCCCACAGTCTGATGGAGATCAGGCAACTCAACACAAGGCCCAGCATAGAGCCAGCAGTCTTGTGTGTACTGGGCCTCACTTCAAAATTTGGGGTAAACACTATGCTCGGACTGGATCCTTGGGCCATTTCCTTTTGGCATGGTGCCTATGGGTTCTCTGTCTCCTCTGAATGCCTTCTCACTTCAGTCCCATCTCGATTTCTCCCACACAGCACAATATAGTGGGCTTTTGTACGACCCACATCAGCGTAGATACCGACAATTCTCAAATGCCACATGTCCTCAGGTGTCTCATATCCACAGTAACTGTCAGATGTGAAGGACCGCCAGACTGAGAGCAGCGAGGGTTCATGGCGAGACTGAATTCAGGCCCTAAATAATCACAAAGCTTAATAATGAGAAACTCTACACTCTTCACCCTTTCGTATCTCTATAACCATGTTTGGCCCATACACCCTTCCCTATCTCTATAACCTCCTCCAGCCCCATCACTCCTCCCTCTCTCTTTGACTGATTAGCTTCTGGAATGTGCTGCCTGAAAGTGTGGGGGAAGTAAGGGTCAATTAAGGAGTTAGGGTCTGGTCCGTGCTGCCTGAGAGTGTGGGGGAGGCAATGTCAATCGAGGGGTTAGGGTCTAGAACGTGGTGCATGAGAGTGTGGGGGAGGCAGGGACAATCAAGTGTTAGGATCTGGAACGTGCTGCCTGAGAGTGTGGGGAAGGCAGCATCAATCGAGGCTGCAAAATGGAATCGGGTCAATATCTGAGAAGTTGGGTGGAGGGAACAAGTTGAAACTCACCCGATAAATTGCTCCCTCAGAGGACTCGCATGATACAAGGGGCGAAGGGCCTCATTCTGCCCTGCAGCCAATCTCTAGTTCTTTGAATTACTTTCTAATCACCGCTTTATTGAAGTTTGGCGCAACCTTTCTCTCAATGGCAACCCCTTTTCACAGCACATCAGTATACAAAGGTGATGCAAATTCTGCCGTTTGAGTGTTTTGCATCTTGTGAATAATTGCCCAATTCTTTGCCTGTTTCTACTCCACGTCCATCCCCTCCTGCACAGGTATCACGCGAATGGAGAGGTGGGAACGAGCTAACCGGATGGGTCTCCGACCTCCGCAGTACATCAAGGAGCTACTCCTTTATCATAAGAAGGAAACCAAGTATCAGGAGAGGTACGTTCTTTCAGACTTTCTGTGGTGGGGACACGGCTGTGGCTGGAGGGGAGGGAGATTGGTTGTTTCTGGGTGGATGTGAAATTTTTCCACATCATCCATAGTCATGGTGGCTGAGTAACACATTAAAAACTGGTCGGGACTGAAGTGGGCAGCCAGGATGTAGCTACAGTTTAGCACAGGGGTGTGCATGGAATACAAACAACACAGAATGGTCCTAAAGTGAAAAGCAACTGCAGGACGCTGAGATACAGTCAGATCCGGGTTAGAGTTTTGTTTCCAGTTCTGGATTCCACATTATAGGAGTGATATGATGGAACTGGAGAGGGTGCAGAAATTTACCAGGATGTTGCCTGAGCTGGACAGTTTCAGTTATGAAGACAGAGATTGGTTTGGCTGGGGTTGTTTTCCTCGGAGCAGAAGGGAATGAGAAAAGGACAATGTTTGATGCATACATGATGATGAAGGGTACAGATAGAGTAGACAGGAATAATTTTTTTCCCCTTGATGGAGAGATCAATGACGAGGGGGTACTGATTGAAGGTAAGAGGCTAGAGGTTTCAAGATGTGAGGAAAAGTATTTTCACCCAGAGGGTGATGTGAACCTAGAACTTACTACAAGGATGATAGAGGCAGAAACCCTCAGCAAATTGGGTTGAGGGGTGACCTTACAAAGGTTTACAAAATCATGAAGGGCTTAGATAAGATGAATAGCAAAGGTCTTTTCCCTTAGGTAAAGGAGTTCAAAGCTGGGAGTCATATTTTTAAAGTGAGAGGAGAAAGATTTAAAAGGGACCTGAGGGGTAAATTTTTCACACAGAGGGTGGTTCATGTGTGGAATGAACTGCCAGAGGAAGTGGTAGATGCAGGTACAGTTACAATATTTAAAAGACATTTGGACAGGTACATGAACAGGAAAGGTTCAGAGGGATATGGGCCAAATGCAGGCAAATGGGACTAGTTTAGTTTGGGAAACTTGGTCAGCATGGACGACTCTATGACTCTAATAAGTGTTTAGATGTACATTGTGATGCTAAGGCATACACATGTGCCAAGAGCTGGGAAATGGGATTAGAATAGTTAGGTGGTTGTTTTTGACTGGCTCAGACATGATGGGCTGAAGGGCCTTTCTCTATGAGTCTATGACTCACAGTTAGTGCACGGATGCAGCGAATGACTGGGAAAGCTGATTATCTGGAGACCATTTGTGAAACAGGGGATGGAGGATAAAAGTCGGGATGCCTCGCTACAACAGTACAGGATATTGGAGAGGTTTCACATGGAGTAGCTGCGTGGTTATGGCCCCCTTATTGAACGAGGCACACACCATCACGGGCAGCAGGTCAGAGGAAGGTTCACTCAGCTTATTCCTGTGATGAAGGGGGTTCTATCTAATGAGGAGAGGTTTGAGCAGGTTGGGCCTGGCCTCATTGGAGTTTCGGAGAAATGAGAGGTGACCTTATTGAACATATAAGATTCTGAGGACAGGGACGGACAGGGTGGCTACTGAGAGGGCTTACCCCTTGTGGGGGAGTCTAGAACGGGGAAGCAGAGCTTAAAACTAAAGGGTCTCCTGTTTAAGACTGAGAAAAGGTGGAATTTATTCTCACAGAGGGTGGGGAGTGTTTGTAATTCTCTCCCCCTCAAACAGCAGTGTTGGGGGTGCATGGATGTGTGTGTGCGTGTGTGTATGTATGTATGTGTATAGCAGGGTGGGGGCAGTGAACATATTCAAGGCTGAGTTAGACAGAGTTTTGATCAGGAAGGGAGGGAGAGCCACTGGAAAGTGGAGTTCAGGTTACCACATCAGATATGGTCTCAAATGACAAAAACAAGTTTAAGGGACTGAACAGTATACACCTAGTCCTCATTCTTAGTGCTGATGTATTGTTGGTGTGGAGCGTTAGGATTAGGAGAAGGAGAAAGGTGACTTGCGTGCGACTCAAAGCTGTCCTACCGGATATGAAACCAGATCTCGTCTAAATCAGGTACTGAAAGTATGGAATCCAAGCACCTTTGAGAGAAGGCAGCGACTCAGACATTCAGTCCCTGTAATGGGGTCTCACTCCTCATCTGGAAAGATCTCTCTAACCCTATCTCTCATCTGAACTACTATATCTTGGGATGCCTCTCTAAACCTCTCTCTCTTTCTCACACATACACACAGTCCTGTATCTTCTGGGAGTCTCTCTAACCCCCTCTCATACTCATCTGTATTAGGGTGGTCCCTCTAACCCTCTGTCTCTTACATAATGCAGTCTCTTGGGTGGTCTCTCCAACCCCTCCCTTTATCTCTCATTCCTGGACCTGTGGAGGTCTCTCCAACCCTTTCTATCTCATACACACCTGTAGCTGAGGATGTCTCTCTAACACACTCTCTCTCACACGGTCCTGTATCAGGGGCGGTCTCACACACACACACACACACAGCAATCTCTGGGGTGGTCTCTCTAACCCCTCCCTCTCTCACACACACCTTTAATGGGGGAGGTCTCACTGAACCCTCTCTCTATCCCCCTCACTCGTGTATCTGGAGAGGTCTTTTTAACCCTCTCTCTCACATCCTCTTACACCTGGGGAGGTCTCTCTAATTGCCTCACTTTCTCACTCCTGTATGTGTGGAGGTCTCACTAACCCTCTCCCTCTCTCACACACTCTTCTTATGTGGGAAGGTCTCTCTAATCCCCTCTCTGTCATTCCTAAATCTGGGGAGATCATTTCTAACTCTCTCTCTCTCTCGCACACACACGCACACACACACACACCTGTTCCTGTATCTCTATCTCTATCTCTCTCACACAATGCTGTATCTGGGGAGACATCTGTAACCCTCTCTTCCTTACTCACCTGTATCTGGGACACACTCTCTCTCTCACACTCCTGTAACTTGGGAGGTCTCTCGAACCCACTCACTGTCACACTCCTGTATCTGGGAGGTCTCCCTAACCTTCTCTCTCTCAAACAGCGCCAGGGACCCAAGTTCTATGGAAGTTTGCACATTCTCCCCATGCCCGCGTGGGTTTCCTCCGGGTGCTCCGATTTCCTCCCACAATACAAAGATGTGCAGGAAGGTGGAATGACCATGGTAAATTATCCATAGTTTTCATGGATGTGAAGGTTAGGTGCATTAGCCATGGGAAATTACAGGGATAGGGTAAGGGGTTAGGTGTAGGTGAGATGCTCTTGCAATAGTCAGTGTGGACTGTAGGGATTCTATGAAACCACATTTGCATCTGGGGAGGTCTCTCTAAACCTCTCTCTTTCTCTCCCTCTCTCCCACACACATACACACACTCCTGTATCTGGGGAGGTCTCTCTAATCACCTCTTTCTCTCTCACACACACACATTCACACTCCTGTATCCTGGGAGATCTCTCTCTAACCATCCCTTTCTCTCACACACTCCTGTCTCAGGGCGGTCTCTCTAACCTCCTATCTCCCTCTCATACCCCTGGATCTGGAAAGGTCTCGCCAACTCAATCTCACACATTATTGTATCTGGGGAGGTCTCCCTAACCCGTTCTCTCTCTCTCTCTCACACACACACACACACACACACTCTCTCTTGTATCTGGGGAGGTCTCTCTAACCCCCTCATCCCTCACTTTTTCACTCCTGTATCAGTGGACTTCTCGCTAACCTTCTCCCTCTCTCACACATTCTTCTGTATCTGGGAAGGTGTCTCTAACCCCGCACCCCTCATTCCCTAATCTGGGGTGGTCTCTTTAACCCTCTCTCTCACATACTGCTGTCTCTGAGGTGGTCTCTCTAACCCCTCCCTATCTCTCTCATTCCTGTATCTGTGGAGATCTCTCCAACCCTCTCTCTCTCTTTTCTCACACTCCTTTAATGGGGGATGTCTCTCTAATGCCCACCACCACCCCCCACCTCCACTACACTCCTGTATCTGGAGAGGTCTATCTAACCGTCTTCCTCTCTTACACAATCTTCCGTATTTGGGAATGTCTCTCTCATCTCCTTTCTCTCACTCCTAAATCTGGTGAGATCTCTACCCCTCTCTCTTGCTCATACTGCTACACCTGGAGAGATATCTCTAACCTTTCCTTCCTCACTCTCCTGCATCTGGAGCAGCCTCTCAAACCTTCTCTATCTCTCTCACTCCTGTATCTTGGGACAATACAGTGTGGATCTGGAGGAACACAGCAGGTCAAGGATCATCATAAGAGCAGGAAATTTCCGAAGAAGGGTACCAACCCAAAATGTCAACTTTCCTGTTCCTCTGATGCTGCCTGACCTGCTGTGTTCCTCCAACTCCACACTGTCTTGTCTTTGACTCCAGCATCTGCATTTCTTGCTATCTCCCTGTATCTTGGGAGTTCTCTCTAACCAACTAACTCTCACACTCCTGTGTCTGGGGAGGTCTGTCTAACTTTCTCTCTCTCATACTCCTGTCTAACCCTCTCTCTCACACACAATACTGTGACTGAGGTGGTTCTCTAAACCCATCCCTTCCTCTGTCACTCATTTCTATATCTATGGAGGTCTCTCCAGCCCTCTCTCTCGCTTTCTCATACTCCTTTAATTGGGAGGTCTCTCTAACATCCCACCCTCCCACTCCTCTCTCTCTTCCACACTTCTGTATCTGGGAAGATCTCTCCAATACCATCTCTCTCACTCCTGTATCTGAGGAGATCTCTCTAATCCTTCTTTCACTCTCAGTGTCCTTTACCTGGGGAGATCTCCCTAATCCCTCTTTCACTCTCACAATCCTATACCTGGGGAGGTCTCTCACTCTGTGTCTGTCTCTCTCACACACATAGACTCATGTATCTGGGGAGGTCACTTCAAACCCACTCCAGCACTCCTTTATCTGGGGAGATTTTTCTCTCGCTATGTCTTTCTCTCTCGTCCTTTCTCTCTTCCTCTCTTTTCTTTTCTCTTTCACACTCTCCTGTATCTTGGGGACAGGGTGGGGGCGGGGGTTTCTTTAATCGCACCCCCTCCCAGTCTTTCTCTCTCATTCTGTGTCTGGGGAGCT